CGATTACCACGACGCGTAATGCTGACTAGTGTTGGGGGTGGTTAGAGAAAGTTAGGGGCGGCCAAACCGAGATTGACATCAGTCCTTGAAGTCACTAACTTCTGGTCTGAGTCATGTTGGTAGATGCAGACTACTTGGTTGGGGTCATCGTGACTATCGTAACCAGTGGTTGGAGACAGTTGGTGACATGGCTCAGAATCGATCACAATAGCGTCAGTGTATATACTCTCTGTCTTCCCTTAAACTATGAGAATAAAATTAGTTTTTATCTTTTTTTCTACGAATTTTTTCTTTATTCCTTATACAAAATCTTTCTTTTATGTATCACTACCATTGAAGTGACTACTTCTGTGAATTTGGTGTTCATCTTGTTGCGCTATTGAGGTATGTGGTATGGCAACTTGGACCGATGCATGTATGTGTCTGGTCCTACGTTGTAACTGACCGTCTAGTTTTGCACACTAGATCATAATAACTGAAGTAAAAAGATTTTGTTACGTTCGTTTAAGATTTTCGGAAATTAGCTTTTCATCGAAAACTCAATTTGTATGACAGTTAAATGATTAGAATCTATTCATATTTAAGAAATATATGAATGAATAATGGAATTAGAATGTAATTTGTTAATTCTTCATCTACTGTGTGGTTGGTGTTGATTGATTTTATGTCAATGAATTGATGCCAAAGTAATTTCGGCCAATTGGACTTTATTTTCATCGTAAGAGAATATATTGTAAGTCGTTTTCTAAGTTTGATTCTGCACACTTGATAAAATATATAGTTTTGTATTTTACCGTTTACTTCAATTTTCACTCATTTTTTTTTGTCTACGTTCAGTGTATAGAGCAAAATTCACAACAGATTAGAATATATATTAACGTTAAATGTTATTATAAAAATCAATTTTCAAATTACTTTCATTTCATATCTTTATATATGATTACGTTTAGCTTGAATCTAATCCTGCAATTGTACAGTATCGAAAAGCATTAAAATCTGTATGGTCTGGAAACGATATACTCAATGGTGATCAATGGGTTAAACGACCTGATCCACCTAAATATCGACATGGTCGTCTTCGACCTATTCGAAATATACCATTCGTAACGGTACCGGGTGCAGATGAAAAAAATAATTTGGAAGAATACGCTTCAGCAACACGAAATCTATTTGGATTAGATACTGAAATACAACAGTCAAATTTGTAGATAGATATTTTAAAAATAATTCATCTTTGATCAAATTATTTGTACATTTATGCGTTTGGACATTTAATCATTCTTTTCCTGAACACTTTAAAATCGATGTGTACAATGCTTTATTCGAGTGCTATTAGAATTATGGAAGCGGTTGTTCCTTTTCGGCCGCTCATATTGTGGAAAGATGTTTCTTGAGGTTACTACGAAGCCCAGAGAACAAACACTTTAGGTCGGTCATAGAAGACCCTTTTATGAGTTGTTTTGAATGTGTTAACTCCATATTTTTTAATATGTCGTATCGCCCAAATATCACGTGACAAAATCGCTATTCAAAACACTTGCTTCTATGACCCTGTTACTGTGCTTAACTAATGACACATCAAAAAGCATAAATACTTTTCGGTCTGTAGAATATCTGTATTTTTGATATGATGGGGAAGTAATTAAACCTCATCGTTAGGCGTTAACACCATTGAAAAGTGATGATCTTTAGTTATCATGTTTTTCAACCATCTATTTGTTAAACTGTGTCTGATGCTTCCTACAATAAGCGTGCTATTTTGTTGAGAAACAACTGGACCTTCTCGCCATCAGTATTGTCTTTGGTGTCAGTTCACTTAAGGGCTTGAATGAATTGTTTCGTCTCGTGAGTAGCCATCACTCAGTCAACGTATCACTCCATTTCACCTATCGATCAATATTGGGTTTTACTCGTTCTAATAACCCCAACCCCGTTTATCAAATTATACAATAAACAGGTAAATTATGGGACACCTAATATAGTGTTGTTCATTTCGACTACTGTTGGCTAATTAATGTTGTACAATATGTCTTTGCGTGTTTCACTTCATACAACATAAACAATATTCAATGCGATCATAGAAAAAGATTGAATTGTCATCGTTTAAAATCATTTTTACAATCGACCTGCTTGATATGGGTAGATTGATACTTCGTCTTAATTGAAATTAAAACTGCTTATTAAGGTTCCAACAAGACCACAAGTTACCGAATTCTTGTTACTAGATGTAAATTCTTTCCTTATAATGATAACCGAGAGTACATTTTTCTAACTTATACTTCTTGCTTGACTTGACCTGTTCTTGATATGGTGTGCCAATCAGAAGGTCAGTCAGTGGCCATCGAAAGTGACCTAAAGGTGAAGTGCATTTCATTGGCAAAGAAATGGATTGATTTTTTAAGAGGTAAAGCCGTATATATATGTATATATAAATGAGTATTTATACAATTTATCCGGTGGCTCTATGTACTTTCTTGTCCACTCTTGTGTTGGGGGTTAGAGTGTAGCACGTCTTTGAACACTGACTAGTCTTCACCATTCCTGGTTTTGTTAATTTCACTGTGTTCCAAGAGTATGTTTTGTTGTTATATATGTACCGAGTTGTCCTACTTCAGTTTTGTCGTACTTGATTATTAAACTTTACTCTTTACACTTCTGCTTTCTTGGGTTCTCTTATCTAAGAGTTACCGTTAAAGGATTTTGTGCATCAGTTCCCGCGTATCATCGCGTTCGTGTTAAGAGGATCTCGATCGTTCTTATTTAGAATTTACCGTAGCTTCAACCAACACAATCTTAGAGCACAGTAGGTTGACGTTAAAATGGCTTTCGATACCTTTTTTCATACAACTGAAGTATTTGATTCTACAGTGACAAAAAATAGACTCATTTATTTAGTTAAGATGTAGTAGCGTATTCTCGACGCAATCAAATTGTCAAAAAACTCAAGGACGAAAAGTAGGTAGTAACTATTTGTGAGAAGTACTATTTGCACGTCACGCACATCCATGTACAGTATTTGATGAGCGTATAGATTAATCAAACTGCAATTCCGTTTCGCCTATCTATATCATCATCTCGATCTGTGAAGCTTATAAATAATCATTCGCGTCAACTTAAGTCTTTGGTTATATCTGGACTGTTCAGCTAACATAGTTCTGAGTTAATTCGATTTGACTACAACCCGAATGAGATCAGTTATAAGTATATAGAACTGAGTCCTGTGTTCTGAACGTGGCTGATTGACCGATAATAGAAGTGATCAAATTATTCTAGATATAATTCTCATGATAAATTCGTATTATTTAAGAAGCTTGAGGTATTAAATAATGGGTAATCCTCTATTGTAAATAGTATCGATCGGTTTACAAGTTTTAGTACTTATCTAACATCAAGTTTGAGATAACTGACTTGATACTATTGAGATAATGTTATGTAGCCCCAAATTACTGTACACTGTTAATGCCTTAGTTCACTCTTAACTTGTTTAGCTAGTGACATATTTAGCGAAATGTAAACTGGTTGGACCATAATATCCAATACGGTTTGGCATATAATAACCTTCCTAATAATGTTGATTTATTATGTGAGGTATCCCCATGATCACTGCATCATTATTCATTTAAATTAGCTTTAACAGTTATAGATCATATTCATCATGTACTGAAATCATCCGAAAAATCGATGAAAATCTGGGAAGCTATTTTGTTTCGGTGTGATGAATCCTTAACAGTGTATTCCTTAAGCATGGAAACTGATGATCATCTAATGCATCTCTAAGACATTTCTGTAAAGACTTGGCTGTTGCCGTTATTGCACATAAGAAACTGGATGACTGATATTGTGTTCTTCACTTTCAGACAAAATAGAATCATTAGTGATTTTGTCCTGTCAGAATACGGTGGTTTTCACTTTCAGGTTGCCCAAATCGTTGGAAAGTACTTCTAGAGGTGCCTGGAAGGGAAATTTATTTTAAAGTTGTTCTTCGTGACCTGAGAGCGTAGCCACAGTGCTCGAGGGACAACTGCTTGCGGCTGGTCACAGACCACCTTTCCGTGGCCTCCGTAACTGTCGAGACGTTACCGCTGGAGATGTAAATCCGTAGAGTAAGGTTGAGGTGCGCACTTTTAGGGTCGACCTTTTCTAACCCCACCCTTCTTTTGTGGGAAGGCAGCATCGCTGTTATGCTGGGTGTCTGAGGGAAACGTTTTACTGCCGTCACACCTGTGTACAGTCAGCAGTACGACTTCGCCCTCGAACCTTGGGTTTACTGCTTTTATTCTCACCGCTTTTCAACCAACTTGTCTGGTATGGTAGGACCTTGAGGAATGATTGTTCCAGAAAGTATAGCCCGATTGGCTCATCATGATAGGCGGGTCTGACTACCATGTCAAGGTATCAGCAACGGTCAGGAAAATGAAACTTCCGAATTAAATCGTCCCATCGTGAGAACGGATCATTACCCAAATTTATCGATTTATCAGATTACTGTAAATTCACAACGCCGTGCGAACTCGTATATATTAATTATGATAATGGATTATTTAACCATCTGTTTGTTGACTTCACATATATGTGTATATATTCAATTTCTTTGCCGTTTCTAGTTACTAATAGAATGACTTAAATTTTCTAATTCGTTGGCTGGTTATTTCTCATTCTGCTTATACATTTTGGTCTACTCATAAGTAGTATACTTTATGACTGCATGAAGAAAAATCGAAATAGACAAATTTACGTAAATATATACAGTTAGCATTACATGAATTAAAAAAATTCATTAACATTATCATGTAGGAACAGATCTATGACAGACCGAGTTTTTCTACTACTAGGAGAAAGTATGTGAGGTCACAGTACATTGAACATTTATTTTTTTTAAAATATCTAGTATAAATACTGTAGTGGTATATGCTACTTATTTCAACATAAGTAGTATATAACGCCAATCGGGAATGGAATGCTTATCAACACAAAGTAGGGGAGATCGAATCGAAGAGAAAGGGAATAGAGTGAGTAATTATTATAGCAATGAGGGAACGATGAAATTTAAGACAATTCATGGAGGATTTGTAAAATGAAGTATAGTTTACACATTTTACCAAAGAACTTTGTAATTTTGTAGTTGTCTCTCATATATGTTCTCGTTCACAACATTAATACAATTTAGTTTTATGATAATTTGGAAGACTAGTATTCAAGTGGAAACATGTACGTTAATAGTAATAAGAATCAATCCGCACAAATACAATATATTGATTTTATTCTTTATGAATAGTGTATTGTCTATCTATAGTCCGACTACTTACTGTATGACTATTATGATGTGATGTTCTAATACCTTGATAATGTTGTTTCCGGTGATGTTGATGATGATTAATATTTTTATTTAATTTCCTTGATTGTATCATATTATCAGATGAACATTGTACATTATTATTAGTTACTATGGATGATGGTATTTCTTTTGATTGTAATAATCGTTTATTTGTTGATTGATTTCTATGTGAAATTAATCTTTCACTAGATGATAATGGTTTCTTTCTTAAATTTATATAATTCTCAAATGAATCCAATTGTTTATGATGATGTGGTCCACCATTGAATTGTTTACTTATTCTTGATTGTATATCATAATTATTAGAAGTAGTTAATTCAGATAATGATTTTTGTTTAGATTTATTCATTTCTATAAATTGTTGATGTTTATTTCTATGATTACGTAATTGAATTGGTACAGCAGATTGTATTATTTGTTCACCAAATATTGGATCATATATACCACTATCATTGTGTACACGTTTAGGAGGTAATGATTTTGTATAATTCATATTGTCTATAGATGGATAACTGTTTAATAATGTATTTGATTGTTGTCGATTTAGATTTATTAATGATTGTGGTATATTCAAATCAGTTCTTAACGATGAATTATGATGATGATTAACATGATAGAGAGATTCATCGCCTCTTAGACCTGTTAAAGTTTTTTGTTGTCCTCGTGCGATCTCAGTAGATTTATGCATAAAACATAATCCACACAATGTTGTTTTACGTCGTGATTTTGAATAAATATAAAGATATATTTGTAATAGAATAAAACCTAATAATTGTACTAATATAACAACTAATAAACATGGTAAATAATACCATGATTCAGGATATTGATAATAATCATACCATAGACCAATCATTATAGAATTTTCTATATAATAAAATAAATAATAAATTAAATATCTTGTACGTGTATACTTTATACCAGCATTGAAAAATTCATATAAACTAATATAAGAATGAAGTAGATCAATGAAGAAATTTCCACAGATATCACTATGCTGTTAAAATACAAAAGAAAAAGTAATAAAGAATAAATATGTTACCAGAAGAGGTTGTGTTTTTTTTGTGTGTGAAGATTTTTAGTAATTTAATAGTTAAATTCATGAACCAATAGAAGCTGAAACACTATGGAGAACCTGAAAGTATTGGATGGCCAACTTGTCTTAGTATAGGACTCTTTAGCAGTGTATATCTACGATCCCGCCTCGCGGGACTCGAACATAGGAACTTCGGTTTTGCGCTTGAACGCTTTACCTCAAAATCATTGAGCCGGCATCCAATGGTGTTAATCTCTAATTTCAACCAATTCACGAAATTGCGACACCGTATACCATTGTACGCGCGCGAGACTGGTAGGTCCTTGGTTCGAATCGCGCAGGGTGGGATCATGGATGCGCGTTGCCAAAAAGTCTCATACTAGAACGAAACGCCTGTTTAGGGCTTCCAGGTTCTACATGGTGGTCTAGCTTCTATTGATTCATGAATTCCACTATTAAATGAATAAATTTATGTTGTATTATATCTGTTTAGTTAGATTAAAATTTTGATTAGTGTGTGTTTTAATTGAATGGTATAATATTCACTTACGTAGAAACATATCATAATAATTAAGGGACTAGATTATCTCGATAAACTTAATTGATCATAAGTTACTTAGTATAGATGGATCGGCACTAACAATGAAGTGTAGAATAAGTGTTTTGTCACTCTTTAAGCACATCAGCTGAATGTACTTGCATTTTAGCTGTTGTGTCGGAGCGAATGTCAAAGAAATTGTAACTCTTTTAACTAATTTATATCTGATTATTATTGTTTATATATATATATTCATTATTTTATTTTAATTTTAACACATAGACATTGGTACAAGGAGGCACCAAATACATATGCGCCACACAAATCTCATTAGATATGTGTGAGGGCTGTGATACTGCCCGGGTGCCCAAACCGAAGCAGGTGGTTATCTTAGGGGGCCACACCCCGAGCCTTTGACCTGAAGGTCTGATCCACAAGGCAGTGGAGCATCGTCAGGAGATGCAGTCCTATGGAAGCCGGTGACCAACAATTGGTTCATACGCCATTTGTTCCCGCAGGGTACTGGAGCCCATGTGCACCATTTGGAATCCGGTTAAAGCGCCGGACATTCGCTTTTCGTCCTCTCATTTTCGTAAACAACACCCCCGCCACGAGAAGGCAATTAGTAGGACTTCCCTGGCAGAGGCTATATACGCGTGGCCATATGAGAGCATTTCGAGAGGGAGAGCGGACTCTCCACACTCTCGGCCGTACCAGGGCATTCATTGTATAGTTAGTAAATAAATTTATTATTGTATATCTATTTTCTGCTTATTGTAAGCCTCCTTATGATCTATTAACTATTACTATACGTCTTAATATTCTCAATTTATTGTCAATCAGTTAGTAACAGCTTGCCTCATCTCATTGCTACTTTTTGGTCCGATTTTGTATATCATCTAGTTCTATTTTATGGTATGATATAGTTAATGCCATACATACAAGTGAACGAGCGTTGAAGACATATTCTGGGCTGGTTGGTTGGAATGTAGTAATACAAATTTAGCTAATGTCTTATTTGAAAAGAAGAAAGTGTGTCTGCTGACAGACTAATAAGAGTGAAGGTTATGTTAACTCAAGAAAAATTGTGTGTCGGTCAGACCATATCACTGATTGAGGCTATGAACGTTTGCCTGTAGACGGAATAGGGGATGGAGAGTTGAAAAATTATGTTCGGAATTCTGTCTGGCAAATCCAGAAGGTAATATCGATTAATCTCTCAAACACAACAATGACCAACATGACACCAGTGTTTATAAAAATTTCTAGCCCATCATAGTTATGAGATAAACATATCCGTTGAATAAGTTAATGATTGCTTGAACTCAGTAGCTCAATGGAAGACATGTTGATGTTCGAAGTGAAAGATACTTGGTTCAAGTTTTATTATGAACAATTACACTAAGATCAAGGTACATCCATCTGACAACCACCAAATAGAACTAAATTCATGTCGTAATTTCCACTACTAGCCAAAGTCTATCTATTATATGAAATTTAAAAGTACAGTTCATTATAAAACCAAATATCTAAATCTGTATTGGGTGATATATATAACATATTATTCACTAAATTCTAGATAATCCTGATTACATGACAGAATAGTCGTGTTAACGCTCGGTTACCTAATGTGAATAAATTGAATCGAATCTATTGATTATTTAGGTATTTAAATTGCCTGCTAACAAACTGATTTTAACCATAGATATTTTGATTTATAGGAGAACAAATCGACCGATTAGTCGACCGCTATATTCACACTCTCAAAACATCATTTACGAATTAATATGAAAATTAAAATGTTTCAGAAGTTAGTAACATGTAAAACGTTGATGAAGTACCATTTTATGCACTCACTTTTGATTCACCGACTGAGAAGTAGAGTTAGTAATATTGCTCAACTCTTTAATCTAAAACACTTAAACCTAGGCTTGACCCTGTGGTTTAATTGTTGAAAGTGAAGGGTTTCAGTAGTCATTAAATACTAAATGATATCGTACATTTAAAGAAAAAACTACATCCTTTGATATGTGCTTCATACGACTTTTAAAGTGATTTCATTTATACTGTAATCACTGAAACTTTCTCACACTTATAACCAATATCATTTTAGTTATATACAAATGTTCATGTTTCAACGTTATCAAAACTAAAAGATATCATATTTCTATTGGATTATTTCAATATTATATTAAAACACTGTCCTGACGTTTATCAAGATATTAATTAGTTTGGGGTAAATAGTGCAACTATAATTGATATAGATGGTTGGTAGCTAGCAGTGAAATCTAGGATGTGCGTTTCGTCCTATATGGGACTCGTCCAATGGATATACCTTCATCCCATCTCTGCCGATTAGCCTTTAAACTAATAAAGGAAATAAATTTTAGCGCAAAACTAAGGAATCTTGTGTGCACACAACTCCATTCAATGGTTAGTTTTAAAACGTACTATAAATGTAGTTAAATTAGTTTCAGCAATGCTTTGATTCCCAATACTACCTTCATAATATGAAATAAATATAAACAATGATGTAATTAAATTCAATGATTTAATGTCATTTTCTAGATAAAACTATAGTTGAAAGGGAATGGATTTAAAACAATCACAACAAATTTCCATTTAATTCTTAACAAATCAGTAAATAGATTTTATAAATGGATAGTCACAATTGATTGATCACTGGGTGGTGATAAATGTCATGTTTGTCTAGTCCTTATTAGTGCAGATCAAATGCTATCGATCATGTTGCAATGTGGCCACTAGTCTAGGTGACTCGACACTGCGTGCACTATATATTGAGATTAGATGGTGGTTGGAGGTAGTCGACAGGAAACCCTGGACCCGGGTTTCGTGCTACTTGGCACTCATCAGCAAGGTGTACCTGTAATCTTGAGGGAACTGGTGCTCCCTGGCGGATTCGATCTGCACTAATAAGGACTAGACGCGCATGACATTGATCACTACCCAGTGATCAATCAATTGTGATTACATCTCAGTCCTACAGGAGGTCGGTCGCTGCCCGGATAGCTCAGTGGTAACGTCTCTGACTGTGAAGCTGAGTGACATGAGATCGAACCCGCCAGGGAGCACCAGTTCCCTCAAGATTACAGGTACACCTTGCTGACGAGTGCCAAGTAGCGCGAAACCCGGGTCCAGGGTTTCCTGTCGACTACCACAAACCACCATCTAATAAATGGATAGTTTACGGAATAGAAAACGATATTGTAAAGTGTAAAACAGATTGTACATAATTCATAAAACTATTAATTTCTTCTACCGGTTACTCTGTCTGTGAATCAAAGGAACAACCATATCTACATTCGATCTCAGAGATATAGATTGTTCATATTCTTGGGACTTTATAAAGATCCAAATAGATTTTTTAGCGTTCATACTGTTCTTTGTTAGAGTTTAGTATTTAAGGTTACGATTAGGAGTTTAAGCTTTTGGTTCTCATTACGAATTGTTATCAGTTATAATGCGATAATGGTCTGTAGCCATATGGATAAATGAATTTCACTCGAAAGTACAAGAGGCGCTTACTGATTACTGCCTCCATAAAATGTAACAGTGTAGTGAACACGAACACCAGTGTGGAACAATCGAATGTAGTTAATACAAAATTACAGGAGTTGTTAATAAAATCTAACAATCATTAAGTAAATGTTTAATTTGCTAAATGTCCACCAATTGTCTCAAAATGACTCAGACTTCATTGTTCTTGCATTTTCATACAAATTGCATCCTATTTCGATTCTTTACTATTCGATCCTCTTGTCTCTCTGTTGCCAGACCTTCTGTTCACGACTAACATCATATACTACTTACGTCAATAGGAGTAGCATACACCACAAAAGTGCCAGGTTGTTATGTTCCAAGATCAAAAGTTTAGGGTTAGGATTTATGGATAGTATCGTTTCGCTCGTTGTATACAATAAAAAATAGAGATTTAAACATGTCATGCATTGAACACTATCATTTTCGCTCTATGGTGTCAAAAAAACAACTATTCGTTATCGTCGCAAACGTTTCGACCTGTATACAAACATATTTGTACAGTGGATCATGAAACGCAGTGAATTAAAGAAGGTAGTCGCAAAAGAGGCCATCGTCAATTGTAAAATCTGAATTTTTCGAGTTTCCTTCTTACCTTGATAAATTCATTGTCTGACTAATAATGAAATATCCAGGTTTACACATTAAAGCTTGTAGAATATCATATAATTGTTTTCAATACTTTACTACAATACATAGTTCTTAATACTGGTGACTTATAGGGTCTAGCCAATTTCGAACTTCTACTTGTAGTGTGACACAGTGATTAGCATACATCGACAAAGATTCTATATAGATCTATATAGACCCCCCTGAATGCCCTGGTACGGCCGAGAGTGGGGAGAGTCCGCTCTCCCTCTCGAAA